CACTGAAGGTACAAAGCTTGATAATCCTGAAGTCTACAGAAGGCTAATAGGAAAGTTGTTGTATCTCACAAACACTAGGCCAGATATTACTTATGCTGTCCAACAACTAAGTCAGTTTGTTGATCAGCCTAGAGATATTCATCTTGTGGCAGCTCACAGAATATTGAGGTATCTAAAGGGGGCTCCTGGTAAAGGGTTGTTTTATTCAGCCAAGTCTCATCTCAAGCTGTGTGGTTTTTCAGATTCAGACTGGGCTACTTGTGCAGAAACAAGGAAGTCTATCACTGGTTTTTGCATTTACTTAGGGGAATCATTGATATCTTGGAAAACAAAGAAGCAAGCTACTGTTTCTAGATCTTCCTCAGAGGCAGAATACAGGGCATTGGCTTCTTCTGTGTGTGAAATTCAATGGCTCCTATACTTGATGGCAGATTTGAATGTGCTCCCTGCCAGTCCAAGTGTGTTGTTTTGTGATAATCAATCTGCTATAGCCATTGGAGAAAATCATGTGTTCCATGAACGTACTAAGCACATTGAGATTGATTGCCATGTGGTCAAGCAAAAGGTTAATGAAGGTGTTGTAAAGCTCCTTTCCATTCCATCCAAGGAACAAACTGCAGATGGTTTCACCAAGGCATTGCCTAAGCCAAACTTTGATGTTTTCCACTCTAAGCTGGGCCTTCAAGATATTCATGCTCCAGCTTACGGGGGGGGGGGGGGGGGGGGTGTCAAAATAACAGCTCATTCACAGCTCATTCAAGCTCATCACCAGCTCATCTACCCATTCGATCAGCCTGTCATATGTGTTTAGCCTCAAGGGCTTTTTTGTATTTTCCTTATTTCATAATTCTGTTATTTCTGTTACTGAGCTGCCAGTCTATATAAGGCTGCTTCCTTTCTTCTTCTGCATTCGAGACTTCACTTCATCAATAAAACTGCTTCTCATTCCACTCTTTTCACTATTAGATCTAAGATGCACTAAGTTTTCTATCACCTAAGAATTTTTTTGTTTAAAATCTATTCCATCGTTTGTCAATTAATTCTAGAAAATCCTATATTAATTTTGTTTAAAAATAATTCTTTCAGCTTTTAAGAATCATGATTGTTTAGGAGTTTTAAACTTAGCATTCAGTCTCTAAAGCAGCATTCTACACGTTTTAGTCTTCAAGAGAGACAAAAGTGTGAACCAAATACGCATTTAGTTGGATACAAATATTTATATTTCTAAGTAAAATATTTTACCCATCAAGCCCCAGTGGTCTAGTGATAGAATGATACCCTGCTATGGTACAAACACGGGTTTGATTCTCGGCTGGTGCAAAGCACTTGTTTTGCTTAGCTTCATGTGGTTTTATTGTTTTACCATTTTGCGAGCTCTTTCTTTTCCCGAAATTGCATATCAGCATATTATATCTAGTAGTTATTTACTTATTTATATTTAAGTATTACTGAAAGATTACTTGGATGGCATTAATTTAAATATTACTGAAAGATTAAGACATCCAGCACCAGTGGTCTAGTGGTAGAATAGTATCCTGCCACGGTACGGACCCGGGTTCGATTCCCGGCTGGTGCATTCCATTGATTTTTAGTCTCTTACCATTTCGCGAGCTTTTTCTTTTACCGAAATTGCAGATTATACCTAGTAGTTAGTATTTACTTATTTATTATATTTAAACAATAGTTATTGTTTGTCATATATAATTTAATAGAGATTTTCCACGCCAGAGTTATATTTTAAGAGATTATTTTCGAAATTTAATTGACTTTTGCTTTTTTTTTTTTTTTTTTTTTCTAAATATATTTGTTGTGTCAAAAAATAAAATAAAAATTGACAGTGCTCTACTAAATAAAACATTATTTAATAGAGATTTTCCACGCCAGAGTTATATTTTAAGAGATTATTTTCGAAATTTAATTGACTTTTGCTTTTTTTATTTTTTCTAAATATATTTGTTGTGTCAAAAAATAAAATAAAAATTGACAGTGCTCTACTAAATAAAACATTATTTTCTTAATGTATTTGTTATTTGCTTTTGGACATGATAGTAAAACAATATCTCATTGTCAAGATAATTAATTACAAAAAGAAAAACCTTCTATATTTAAACATAATAACCATAAAAATAATATCTAAATATATATTTTATGACCTATTATTTATTTATATATTTTATTGATTTATTGATTATCTAGATATTATCTAGTTATATTTTACTGGTATATATAGAATAAGAGTTAATTCCAACAATAGTCCTCCGACTATTGTGATTTTTCAAATTTAGTCCTCGTCTTTTAATTTGGACGAAATAAACCCTTGACTATCATAATTGTCCCACCATTGGTCCTTCCGTTATTAAAGGACCAATGGTGGAACAATTATGATAGTCAAGGGTTTATTTCGTCCAAATTAAAAGACGAGGACTAAATTTGGAAAATCACAATAGTCGGAGGACTATTGCTGGAATTAACTCTATAGAATAATATCTACATAATGAATAAAAAATAATAATTGTAAATAATTACAAAAATAATTAGTAGACTATAATACTAATGTAAACAAAATCTTACTTTTGCAACATCCTGTCCAAACTACTTCCCAAACTATTACCGCAAATTATGCTGTGCAACCGAATGCATCATGCGCATGGTGCATTCGATGCAAAACGACGTCGTTTTGATTAAAAAACGCGCGTCCCACTTAAAGAAGAAATTAGGTTCGATTCCCGGCAATAGCATTTTTATATATCCATAAATTCATAACTATATATCCATAAATTCATAACTATATATCCACAGTGAATGAATGAAGTAAAAATCCACAATGAATGAACTAAATATCCACAGTGAATGAATGAAGAAAATATCTACAATGAATAAACTAAATATCCACAATGAATGAACTAAATATCCATAAATTCATAACTATATATCCACAAATTCATAACTATATATCCAGAAATTCATAACTATATATCCACAGTGAATGAATGAAGTAAATATCTACAATGAATGAACTAAATATCCACAATGAATGAACTAAATATCCATAAATTCATAACTATATATCCACAAATTCATAACTATATATCCAAAAATTCATAACTATATATCCACAATAATGCTGTTGCCGAGAATCGAACCTGAATTTCTTTTTTTAAGTGGGACGCGCGTTTTTAGTCAAAACGACGTCGTTTTGCATCGTATGCACCATGCGCATGGTGCATTCGGTTGCACAACATAACCATTGAACTATTACTATATAAAATCTAATAATTATTAAGACAATTAAACTAGGGAAGAAGAAGAAGAAGAAAAGTAGTGTGGTGGGCAAATTATACCATGTATCAGGGTCTACTTTGCATTATAGACCCTGATCTAAAAATAACTTTCAAATTCTGTATGTATAGTTGATACATTCTGTATCTACAGTTAATAGTTTCTGTACGTATAGCTATCATATTAATTATTATGTGTCAGCAATTATCAAGTCAGATTCTGTATTTATAGTTGACACATTTTGTACCTGCAGTTCATAGTTTCTGTACATGTAGTTATCATATTATGTATAAGCAATTATCAAGTTATTTGTTTACATATACAGAAACAGTTAATTGTAGGTGTAGAATCTATTAACTAGTGGTGTAGTATGGTGGAGGGGGTAGTGGTGTGGTGGGTAGAGGTGGGCAAATTATGCCATGGACCAAGGTCTACCTTGCATTATAGACCATGGTCCAAAAATAACCTTCAGATTCTATATCTATAGTTGACACATTTTGTACATGCAATTTATAGTTTTTGTACCTATAGTTATCATATTATGTGTCAGCAATTATCAAGTCAGATTCTATATCTGTAGTTGACACATCCTGTACTTGCAGTTGATAGTTTCTGTACGTGTAGTTATCATATTATGTATCAGTAATTTTCAAATTATTTGTTTACATGTACAGAAACGGTTAAGTGTAGGTACAAAATGTGTTAACTGAAAGTACATATTTTTTGTATTAGTGTTCACAATGCAATATGAACCTTGGTCTATGGTATAACAATTTGTGGTTGTAATGGTGGTAATAATAATTCGAAAACTAGTATGAAAAAAGAGGAGAAAATTAAAAAAATGGGAAAATGACACTTTTTTCCCTGAGTTATATACTTATAACATTTTTTTCCCTGAATTATTCATGTAAGCACATTAGCCCCCTCAATTATTTTAAGAGTGGCGGTTTTTCCCCCTAATATATTAAATTGACATTTCTACCTTTAAAATACACATTTTATTTATTTTTCTTCACCAACAAATTATTGCGTATGTGTAGGGATGACCACGATTCGATTCGAATTGAACCGGACACTATAGCAATCGAATTAAAAGTTTCCGGTTATGATTCAGATCCAGAAACCAATATTTGGATTTCAGTTTATTAAAATTATGAATCGAAAAAACTGGATCCTGAACCGTGAACCGGTGGTTCCGGATCCGGTTCGCGATTTTGAACCGTCTTTATTTTAAAATTTTATTTGTTATTTTAAAATAGTCTAAATTCAACAATAAATGTATTTTATTTTTTACAGTTCAGATTATGAACCGGCCGTCCCGGTTCACAATTTTAATAAACTCTAAATATCGGGTTTCGATTCTAAATTATAATTAGAATATTTCGGTTTGGTTGCTATAGTGTCTGTTTGGTTTGAACCAAATTGTTGTCATAATTTGTGAAGAAAAAAATAAATGAAATATTTATTTTAAGGGTAAATATGTCTATTTAACATTTCAAGAGAAAAACATACACTTAAGGCAGAAAAAATGTCATTTTTCCTAAAAAAAATTCAAAAAATGTTTTGACTAAAAATTAAGAAGAAATTTACATCAAATTATACTTTTTTTTTTCTATTCACCAGAAATGAATATTTAAGTCATTTCACGAGTTTTCATGTGATCCTTATTTTAGACTCCGTATTAATTAATACATATAGATTAGCAGGCAACTAAAATTTAGAACAAAATTTTTTTGTTTAAAAGATAACAGTTTCTCCACGGCTCGTGTCTATATTTACGCGACAGGTCTTACCGGATTCCATAACCCACAGAACCTAACGCCTTGCCTAAATTTCCCCTTGTTTTCATCTCTCTCTTTGATCGCTTCACCCAAATATAAGCTTGTAGATTCTGCCAATCCGTACTCCATAGCCGATATCATGAAACTATACAGTTCTGTATACCAGAGCTTCCGTATTTTGGCGTATATGTATAATATATGAGAGATGTATTCCGGACTTTTGCGGTGATGGATATATGTATTTGTTAGGGATCTATTGGCTGTAATGTGAGTTCAGATCTGAGTTGATATGCGAGTGTTTTGAGATCAGCTCCATTGCTTTTCTATGGTTTTAAGTTTTTGCTCTTTTTTTTTTTTTTTTTTTTTTTTTTTGGTGTTTGGTGGGGATGGTTGAGACACTGGAGGCAGCGGTTAATCGATCTGTTCCTGAAACTCAAAACTCAAAGGATAAATTAGCGTAACAGGAATCGATCGATAAACCTCTGCATCCAGCGCTTTACCCCTCTTTGCTTGCCTACATATTTCATGTTTCTAGTTTTTTACTTCCCTTTTAATGCTTTTTTTTTGGTGGGGGCTTTGGTATTGATGTTTAAAGAACAAATTGTGTAGTTTTTTTTTTTCTTTGTGAGGTATGGAATTGTTGTGTATATGAAAAAGGGTTATAGGAGTTTGGTTGAAACTTCATTTTTAATCATTTTGGCTATAGATATGATAATGATAGTTTTTTGTTATAAGATTGCTAGAATTTTTATGGCTAGATTTTAGTTCATCAAGATTTACTAAGTCAACCCTGTATGGAGTACCTTCTTTGAGATAGGTTAGTTTACTCATTATCTTTTTGTTTCTGGTAAAAAAATTAACAGTTTTATTTATCTTGCTCTTGTGGTTTGCAGATTTGGTTGGCCAAGTTATTAACTATTGCTCATATGATAATTGTGATACCTTTCTTGATTTGCTTGTTGTGCATCAATAAATCTGCAGAATTCATGGCAAAAAAAAATTGCTTATTTTTGTCTTCCATTGAATGCAGGTCATTTCTGGAAAACTTTGTTTTATCCTTCCTGTTATTCATTGAGATGCGGGTAATACTATATATATGTAGCAAACATAGGTGTCTAGTTGTAAGTACAAGGATATCTTTAAATGCACAAAGATATGTGAAATAGTATTTGCACCAACTTTAGAATTGGGTATAGAATGGAGTTCTGCAATTTCTGATGCAATGACCTTTGTGTATGTTTCTAATAAACATTTGCTTCCATCCGATGTTGCTGTTAACTTGACTCTTGAAATTTTTTGGTATGGTAATTTCTTTGCCAAGTATGACACTTTTAAGCTAAAATTGTGATTACTATGGCATATTGGATGATCAATTTTTGAATAATAGTTGAAGCGTTGCTGGGAATTTATGCCTCTTTCATATGCATGTTATTTTATGCATTCTGTCACAAGTTGCTCATTTGGTCTATATAGATTTATGACTTTCATTCAAGAATCCGTTCTATCATTGAATGCCTTTGCTACCTAATTTTTAAGACCGGGATTGTGTTGGTTGTCCCAAACTGTACAAACGAGTGGTTTGTCAAGCTTCCTGAATTATGTCAGGCACCTATATGGATGTAAATCATCATCATGCTTTTGATATTTATTAGGTAATAGCTCTTCACAGTTACGGTGTAATGTTTCAGAACAAAATTTGTAACTCTACAATAAGAATTCTATAGTGTTGGTTCAGTTTCCTTTTCCAGTAGCACTCTATGTGGTTTTGAAGTTAGATGTGCTATGCTCTAAAGGGGTATGTGATTCTGAGACTGCTGCTCACAATCTCACCACCCACATCTTGTCGCACATGGCACATCGTGTTTGTGAACAGAGGTATATACGACTAGTGTTGGCATTTCATTAGAATAAATGTTCACAGCCTTATTCTTGTTTGTTCACTGATCAAAGTTCAGATGACAAATGCAAAAATCAAATTCCAACCTCTTTTGTTGTCACAAGTAACTCTTCAAGCAGGAAGAGTTTCATGTTGATCCGCATAGTGCATTGAATCTTAGACTTAATAGTTTACATGAGACGGAATGCCTAAGTTGGTAGTTGAATTGCATATCTATTATTTATATATATGATGTTCAACAAGTCAGATAGTAGTTATCGGTCATAGAGTAATATTGCATGTATTCCGCTTTATGTGGTGCATTGTTGTGGTTGGTTGACTAAGGTAAAACTTTTGCCATTGGTAATGTATATTTGATTTTCTTGGTATGGGGATAAAATTACCTTAAAGAGAAAAAAAGCCATGAAATTGGGGAGGGAAATGTCATCCCCATGACACATAGGAGGGAAGTACCATGAGAGGATGATAGTAGGAAATTACAAAATTGCCAGGGAGGGGATCTTTGCTTACAAGGGATGATGATGTGAAGCTCTTAGGAATCTGGTATCACATTCCTTTTGCAAACATAGTCAAGAAATATAGTAAGCTGGACCAATCAAATTGTCCTTGTTTTTGTTGCCGTGATATAAGTTGTCTCAATGTGATCAGCATCAGTTTAAAGTAAAGAGTGTTGGTCACTTTCAAGATAAAGATTCTTCTTTTGGTTGCTTTTTTTTTTTTTTTTTCAATGGTGATTCATGCCATATTCATGTACTCTAGTGTCTGTGTGATTACCGCATGGCAGTTCAGTTAATCACATGGGTGAAGTTTGGAAACAATGACTCGATATTGAGTTTCACCAGTGATAGTGTAAGAGCAACCTTTCAAAGTGAAGGGGCTCTTTATGCGTGAACAAAGTTCTAACCCCTATTCAGTTGAGTTACCATGATTTACATTCTCCCATATGCTCTGTCGGACTATAGTGTGGGGCTCTTAGAATTGGGGATTCAACGTTTTGGGAACAACAAAATTATTTATTTTCTACCTACCTTTGCCTGGTGGGAGATTTTGTATTGTGTCGTAGGCATACATGTCATTCAAAAAGTTTTGTAGTTTTTTTTTTTTTTTTTTTTTTTTTAGGAAAAAAATAGCAAAGGTAGGTAGAATTTTCCATTCAAAAAGTTTTGTAGTTGAGCAAGCAAATAGCAATACGTAACTTTAAGGTAACATATCACGTGTTTGATCTCTACCTTTTTTTAGAAATATCGAAAAAAAATAGAGCTGTATGGAAAAACATTACGCAATTTTTTGTGCCCAAGAAAAGAAAAAAAAAAGGTAATAAGTGGGGTAAACGTGTAATATTTTTCCATACAGCTGTAATAATACTCCTATATTACGGAGTACTTTATAAGTACTCTTTCGGTTTTATTTTATGTGTTTGATTTAGTATGGATGATTCTTTATATTTTCATCAACAAAACACTTCAAGTGGCACTCTAAGTGAGCCAATTGAACAATCGGGCAAGTAAAAAAGGAAACGTTTATTTAGTGGACTTCTACCAAAACCGAACTGAAACCGAACTTTTCAAACCGAAACCAAACTCTATTTTAAACCGAATGGTTTAATTTTTTAAAACCAAAAAACCGAAATGTCTTTAAAAAATATTTTAAAATTATTTTTTATTAGTAAGTATTTTTTTTTTAAAAAATATTTTTCAACAATCCAAACACGCCAAATTATATCGTGCACTGCGGTGCATAATCGATTATGCACCATGCATCAAAACGACGTCGTTTTATTTAATAAAAAGAAACAGAATCTTCGCAAAAAATAACTATGTTCTTCAGTTTCATTTTCTATACATTGTAGTTTCAGTTCAACACAACTACAGTTTCATTCAATATTTATACACTCAAATATGTGAAAATGTTATTTAATTTTATTTTATATACACTATAGTTTCATTAAAACACAACTACATGATCATTTCTATATAATTACAGCTTCATTGTACAATATACACTCAAATATGTGAAATGTTATTCAGTTTCATTTTGTATATATTGTAGTTTTATTTCACCACAACTACAGTATCATTTTGATATAACTGCAGTTTCATTTGATAATATAACTGCAGAAATGACGTCGTTTTGACGCCCGGTGCATAATAGATTATGCACCGCGGTGCACGATATAACGACTGCCCAAACACTCCCTTAGTCTCTAATAAAAAACTGAAAAATAAGTCATTTCATTAAGAAAATTAAAAGTAATTAAAGTAAATCTAATCATTCTATATTTATTTGTAACTGTATATTAATTTCATTTTGAAATTATTGGTTCACATCTTTGAATTATTTATTTTTTTCTTTAACTATTATAAACAGAAATTACGATATTTATCAAATTGTATTTTTTAGAAAATATAACATTTAAACATTTTATGAGGGGTAAAAAAATATTTTAAAATTATTTTTTATTAGTATGTATTTTTATTTTAAAATATTTTTCAGCAATCCAAACACTCCCTTAGCCTCCCATAAAATACTGATAAAGAAAAGTCATTTCATTAAGAAAATTAAAACTAATTAAAGTAAATCTAATCATTCTATATTTAATTGTAACTGTATATTAATTTCATTTTGAAATCATTGGTTCACATATTAAATTTTTTTTTTAATTATTATAATTTATAAATAGAAAGGATATTGTACTAATTAATTTATGATATTTATCAAATTGTATTTTTAGAAAATATAAGATTTACACATGTTATGAGGGGTTAAAAAATATTTTAAAATTATTTTTTATTAGTAAGTATTTTTTTTTAAAAAAAAAAATTTCCAGCAACCCAAACACTCCCTTAGTCCCCATAAAAAACTGATAAAGAAAAGTCATATCATTAAGAGAATTAAAACTAATTAAAGTAATTGTAATCATGCTATATTTATTTGTAACTGTATATTAATTTCACATTGAAATCATTGATTTACATATTTGAATTATTTATTTTATTATTTAATTATTATAAACATAAATGATATTATACTAATTAATTTCTTACATGTATCAAATTGTATTTTTTTTAAATATAGTGTTTTGTCCATGCATTTTACGGATTTTTTTTTGTTATTATGAATTTAAAAATTAAAATAGAAAAAATAAAAAGATGTTAAAATGTAAAATATAATAATATAGTTGGACTTTTATATATTTGGTCAAGTATCTATTTTCATAACATACAAAATTAAAATTAAAATTTTGTATGGTTAATATAATCTCTAATCATGTACATATTTAGATAAATTTATAAAAAAAATCATATAATTAAGTTGATTTATTCCAAATTGTATTTCATATATATTATAATTCTAAAAATATGAATAATAATAATTAAGAGAATTGTACTTAGAAATCAGTAAAAAATGTAAATTCTAAATTTTGTTGAATAAATAAAAATTCTAATCAGACGCATATACTTATATGATTGTATAATACTTTGTATATACATATAATATTTATTAATATGTATATAGGAAATTTCTATAATATAATTTCATTAATTATAATTTATATGGATAGATTTATACTTAAAAAATTATATTTAGAAATTTAAAAAGTGTATGTATGTATATTTAAAAAAATTATAAATATTCATGTTTTGTTTATTTTATAATTTCATTTGTTTAATTATATTTCATATTTTATTAATTATAATTTAATGAAATTTTCACAAATATTTCTACGAAAGAAATCATATATTTCTAAATTTCATTAATTATATTAATTATAATTACCAAATATTGTGAGAATTACTATAATAATTTCATTAATTATAACATTTGTTCTCTTCCAATATTTAAATACATTTTTATAAAATTACCTTAATAATAACACAAAAGGAAAGAAAAATTATGAGAATAATCTATGTCTATATATCTATATATAATTAAAATTCTCCCAGCCAAGTTTTTTCTCCAAAACTTAGGGACATATATATATATATATATATATATATATATATATATATATATATATATATATATATATTACATTGCATATTTACCACATATGCATATTTCGTGTTTATATAGTATATTTTTTGGTATCAAACATTTGAATGGCATTTTCTAATTTGAATGGTAATATACGGGGGGAAATGTCAACATACAAATGGTAATTCTTTCATTACTATACTAATTTTAATGGTAATTCTTTAATTACTATATTTCACAATGAGTCAACGTGGTCATGCCCATCATTTTTCAAGAGACATACAAATGAAATAGTCAATTATTAAAATTGTTTATGATTTCATTTTTAATTTTTGTCTAAATTTAAAGATATATATTTTCGAGAATTATAACATTTTTTGTATTAAATGAAAATTTTAAAGTTTTACCTTTCTTGAGATCTCTTACCATTTTATTATTTCAATATTGTACCATTTTGAACTCATCCATGGTGTATAAATATACTCTATATGACCATACACAATCCATTGCGGAGACATTTGTACTAAGAGTAAACTTCTCCTTAAACTAAATTCGGTTGTCAAGAAAATCTCCGTTTTCATTCATAATGATATTCCTATTTCTGAGTCTGTCATCACCGTTCTGTACATCAATGATGTCTGGATTTCTAGGTCTTTCATTGTTCCTTTGATCCTTATGATTGTGCCATTGCCAGCATTTTTTTATTCGGGTTGAGTACAACGTGAATTTTTTTTGGGAGGTTTCTCTAATTAAATATAGTTTGAATGACTCCCACACACATCATTTATTTACACAACCTGGAATGGCTTCCAAGGAGAAGGGGACACTGTGAAACTGCATGACATTCGGAAGGAGCAAGTGCATTTTAGGGGTGCAATTACTTTGTGATTAAAAGTAATTTTTGGTTAAATTTTTTTATTTCCTTTGTATTTTATTTTATTACTTTTTTTTATTATTTATACTAATATGTGAATGGAGTAACACAAAATCTGAAATTGTATTTGTTATTTATTTCTTCTTTTTAAATAATCATTATATTTGTATTTTACAAAAATTTAGAAAAAATCAAATATAGCTAAATTTTTAATAGGTTAAACAAACACTCTACCACCAAGTTTGAAGTTAAGAACTTTACCCATTAAGCTAAAGGCATATTTGTGTTAATATTTACATTTGTATGTTAATATAAATGTATATATTGTTTTATTAAATGTTGTAAACTTCAATTGTAATAGACAAAATTATCCCTATTACATTATTGTTAGACTAAAATACCCTTATACCGTTATAACACCGTTATTATTTAATTCTAAAAGTTTCATAATTCTATCATTATTATCATACACCTATATCTAATTATCTATGATATCTTTTTCCTATTCTTTAATTATCATTTTATTAAAATCATTATATAATTAGTTCAATTGTTCATTATATTTTAATTAAATTTTTATGAATAGTAAATCATATATGTGTTTATATATATATAGGCACGCACACGCACCAATATATGTGACCGGTTACTAGTTAGTATTATATATATTTTATTTATTTATTGTAAAAACAAAGTATAAATTACATCAAAATTGTTTACATTATTAATAAACAAAATATCAATTTTGTTAATCTCTATAGTTTTCAAATACGATGATTAAAATTTACTAATTTAAGGATTTTGCGAAATATAATTTGAACTATAATTTGTAATTATTTGCATTTATCAATTTTTTAATGTTGGGCATAAATTTTCGCGCATCACTCGTACAAAATGCTATTATTATATATACATATTATAATAATTAATAATTTTAACTCCTCAAGTCTTCAGATCTCAACTCTAAGTCGTAAGTCTCAACATTTGGCATTTTAATAATTCTTAGTTTTCAAATATTAACTATAGATGGATGATTCTTTATATTTTCATCAACAAAACACTTCAAGTGGCACTCCAAGTGAGCCAATTGAACAATCGGGCAAGTAAAAAAGGAAACGTTTATTTAGTGGACTTCTACCAAAACCGAACTGAAACCGAACTTTTCAAACCGAAACCAAACTCTATTTTAAACCGAATGGTTTAATTTTTTAAAACCAAAAAACCGAAACCGAACCGAAACTCGAAGTGCCCAGCCCTAATTGTTATCATCCTCGATCGCATCTCTACAATCTTCCATAAAAACTAAACCATTAGGGTTCTGTTACCAAGACTCTCCTCCTCAATTTCCTTTTGTTGAAGCAGAGCCTCCTTAAATATCTTCAAGCTCATACCAGACGATATAAAATGCAAAACATATTGAAGTACGTGAGAATATAGTTAGAAAAAGGTAGAAAATTCATACGAAAATAAAGCA